CAAATATGCTCTCCTCTGAATGAAACCCAAATATGCTCTCCTCTGAATGAAATCCAAATATGCTCTCCTCTGAAACAAAGTCAATATTGACTTCCGGGAAGTTTGACTGAATGCATGACCCCGTGCGTAACTTTGCATATCAGTGTTTTTTTAATTGCGATGAGTGCCATTCCTCCCCTACAGACCTACAGACTTAGTTTATTTTAGTACTACAATGTATGTGTGTTGGGGATGGGGGGCTGGGGTAGGGGGGTAGTAAGGGAGATGGGGTACCATCACTTTATGAAAGGATACTATCCAGAACTTGAAGTTCTCTTGCGTTCTCATTTTCACATATTCATTATACAGCGTCAACATCTGGTCTGATCGCTAGTAAGGAAAAAAAAATCAAGAATTTGAAAAAGTTGACGTCGAAATGAAATAATGATACAGAAAGTATGAAGAAACGAGTTCAAAACACAATCAAAGGACTAGTTTCTTTGACTAAAGTCAAACGTCGAATTTCACATGAGTCTAATGACATCAAAGAAGACCCTCTTATTATCCGTTGTTTCGATTAGGTTAAACTCATGTGAAGTTCGACGTTTGACCTGAGCCTCGAAAAGAGTCTTCATCTGTATCGCCATTTATTGATTTACCTGGCGATTCAAGGGTACCCCAGAAGCTGGTAACTGTTGCTGGCAGGCGCTGAAAAGACAATGATATGCGATGGTGATTAGATTACGATGTAAAGCAGCCCCTCCTTTTGCACAACAATATCTAACTTCTCAGGTTTTGGACTTCAAAATCTGAACGTTAGTGGCCGTTAAACCACTAATAGTCTTGCTGAAAACCTGAATATTAAGATCTTTATGGCCATGCAGTATACATTTTTCGAGATATACCCTATGTAGCAGAAAAAGTAGCATATTTTGAAAGGTAGACCTATATTACTTACACTATATTAATCGTTCCTTTATATTATTTGTTCCTATATGTATATATTTTCTTTTTCTTTCGTCCACATAACTATATATTTGTAATATAATTAAGACATAGACCCTCTCGATGAGCGTTACGCTCTTGGGGTTAATGTAACGACAAAATATGTTTAAATAATAAGGTAGAATCGAGCATTTTTCAAAGGCCATGAACTTGTCTTCAAGATAACTTCCTATATTGGATCCTGAAACGACCTCTAGGTTTTTAATTTTTAAGGGAAAGGGGGTGATGACAAATAGCTGGAAGACGTCTGAAGATATTACTCAAATTGGACCACCATTTTTGTTCATGTACATGAAGAGGCAGGGCTGTAGCCACCGATACAGTTGGTACGGTCTTAACCAGACCACTTTTTTCCCTTTAGAACCATTTTTGCCCTTGTAAAAAAAGGAGGGATTGAAGATTTTTTTTTTGTTTGTTGTTTTTTTAAAAAGCTTTTTCCATTTTATTTAAAAACTAAACCACTTTCTTTAAGACCGGACCATTGTCCAAACAATGGTGGCTACAGCCCTGCTAGTATCATGAAACACCCTGAAAAGTTGTAGAGTTAAAACTCGCTAGGTTCAAGTCCACTTTTTATTATTAATATGACATGACAAAAGAAGTGGGGAAAAAAACATCTACCCATCCCCTCCTTTCCAGAACCATTACCGTTAACTTAAACAAAAATAACCAATTTATTTATGCGTTAGGAGATATAGGAGGTTTACCCTATCGAGAATATCTCCTGCTAGTAATATTGAATTGGAATTAAGGAGAGAACCAACAAACAATTCTACTCACATACGACACCTAGACCGGCAGGAATCAAACCCTGGTTATTGGTGAGAGGCGCCACAATAGTGCTCAGCGCACCCCATCCATGCTTCCCTCGATCTACTTCTTTACCTGATAGAACTATGCAGACTTTGAATCTCCTTTTTCAGTAGTTCTTCTTCTTCCATCATTCTTTCTTTTTCTTGCTGTAGTTTCATTGTATATTCCACAGCTAAAAACAGAAAGGTCGAAAGTGAACAGAATACTACGAAGCTGAAGACAACGGCCAAACTATATTTAGAGCCAGTTTTTTTGTTTTGTTTTCTTGTTGTTTTTTTAAAGTTCCAAAGAGGGTTTCGCAACCTGTATTTTAATTCCCACAGAGGGTTTTGAAGATAATTTATCAAAAAAAAAAAGCCCAACAACAACAACAAGCTGATGTCGTTTTTTCACAAAAATCTTTCTTAACACACTACTTACATTTCTGTAAAATTGTGGCCTTGCTGATTTTAGCGTTCTTCTGGTGAGCTAATGATGGGACGAGATTTGATAGCTGGTCAAATCCAACCTACGATAAAGAAATGATTACTTTACTTCAAAACATTAAAAATTACTTTTATGACTAAGAAAGAATGGATGAAAGTATGAAATGCAGTATACAAGGGTGGGTATGGTAATATTGACAGTACCTTTATGTTAAATCTTCTTTTTTGTTCAGCAGTTATATGTGACTGTCTTCTATGTTCCTGTAACAATGATAATAATAATCACTATCATCATCTCTTATCATCATCACTTATCATCATCCCTATCACCATCATCCATCATCATCATCATCACTAACACCATCATCCATCATCATCATTATCACTATCACCATCATCATCACTATCACCATCATCATCACTATCACCATCCTTCATCATCATGGTCATCATTATCACTATCACCATCAATCATCATCATCATTATCACTATGACCATCATCCATCATCATCGTCATCATTATCACTATCACCATCATCATCGTTATCACTATCACTATCATTCATCATCCTCATTATCACTATCACCATCATTCATCATCATCATCATCACCAGCATCATCATCATCATTAATTGATGGTTTTCACGGCAGCCATGTTGGAGGAACTTAACAAAAGAATTGTTAATGAATTATATTGTTATATCCTCCAACATGGCTGCCGTGTCTTTTGTTATTTAATTCTCTTGGGAATGGTTGAAAACCATCAATACGTCATCCTGACTCATCCCAACCAGCAAAGCCGACTGACCATCATATGCAAGAATTTTGATATCAATAAAATTAGCATAGACTTCTTTTTCAGAACTACTCAGAAACTAAAGCTACAACAGAAGAAAAACCAGTGTCCACTCAGCTCTTATATCAACTACTCACTACATATACCACTACTCATTACATATACACACCTTATAGTTTTCCCGGTCAGCTGCTGAAATTGGCCTCGTAAATTTTGGTGTTTGCTAGAAATGGAAGAAATGAACCTCATGTTTTGGAAATGAAATAAAAATGGAATATAGAGCGGCTTAAAGCTAATAGTTTTGTATTTCCTTGGGTCAGCAATACCTTAGACTAATGTCTGAGTTTAAGTTAAGATAGTATATGAACCTGGGGTGTAACATATATACTTTTTGATTTCATCCTTCATATTGGACACCCATAGCTTATTCAAAGGGAGAGTCCAATAAGCTCTACTCCAATGTGGTCCATAGATTGAACACTGGACCCAGAGGTAAGAGGAATGTACACTACACCACCCTTGATATACTTTTTGATTTAATCCTTTGTATTTGACACCCATAAACTGCACTCCTGTGAGATGCCAAGTCCATAAATTGAACACTAGACTCCAGAGGTAAAAGGAACAAACATTACGATTCTCTATTATGTATTGTACTTACAGGTGAGGCAGAAGTAGAAACAGTGTTCAGTAAATCTGTGTTTAAGGTAAAAGAAAATCAAATTGTTTTCTGTTACTACGTAACCCTAATTGTTTTTCAACACTTACTGTGTTTTTCTTCTCTAACACAGTGTCTCAATATGGGGGTGTTCTCAAGGGGAGAGTTGACTAACAGTAGTGACTCATCTCTGTCAACATGAAAACCTGGTTATGCCACTGCTTTATGTAGTTAACCCATTAAAACCTTTTCTTGAACCAAAAATATTTACCTCCTGTGATGGCAGTCAGTTCATTGGTTGTAGGAGCAGCTGTGGTCGTTGTCCCTGTTGTAAAGAGCGCTTGAGGAAAGCTAAAGCTACTGGTAATTGTAGGTGTACTTTGCTAGAAAAAAAAAGGAGATTATTAGTTCAAGAAAATCATTCTTATAGTCACTCATCAGGAACAATTTCCACAACTGTTGTTAAAATATTATTGATGTATACTTAATGAACTTAATGAATTAAATACAGTGGAATCAAGGTTGGTGTAGTAGTAGTACACTCCCATCTTACTGTACCTCTGGGGTCTCAGGTTTGATTCCTGGAATTGTCATCACATGTGAGTAAAGTTTGTTAGGTCTACCTTGATACAAGGGTCCTTTTCCAGGTTATTTAGATTTTCACCTTCCACAAAACCAAACATGCTAAATTCCAATTCTGACTGTGAGTAAACCATGAAATTTGAAAGTTAGATAGAGAATGCCCATCATATACTTTACCTGTGGAAGACCAGAGGTCTTGAAACCCAAGGTGCTTGATTCAACTTTCAAACCAGATGGTGAGGCAACCTGAGTGGAGGTACTGTCATCCAGCATCTGCTGCAAGGACAACAGACTGGTAGTTGAAGGCTGAACTTCGGCAGTAACCCCTTGCACAGGCTGCACCAGAGTGGACTTCAGGCTTGCTTGAGCACCCTGGATGCTGTTACTGGATACCTTTGGGTGTGGTGCTATCAATACTGGTCCTTGGTATACTTTATGGGTAATGGTTGCCGCACCTTCTGATCTTGGTTGTATGGTTACATTTGGCTGCCTTGCACTCATTGTCTGCTTACTGTCAAAGATGGCTCCTTGTGGTAGTTGTGGATGAACTGCGTGCTGTTGCAGATGCTGTAATTGTTGTGGTTGAGCAAGCTGCTGTTGCAAAACCTGTGTTGTTGATTTCAAGGCAGATATTAGTTGTGAAGTCTTTTGATTTTCAGTGGCCTGCYGTTGCAGTTGTTGCTGTTGTTGTAGTAGCTGTTGTTGTAGCTTTTGCTCTAAGACTTGAGTTGCTTGTTGTGGAGCTTTTGCTTTTCTTTGCTGAGTAATTTGCACAAGTGGTTGTTGTTGTTGCTGCTGCTGCTGTTGCAAAAGCTGCAAYGATTTCTGTTGCTGCTGTTGCTGTTGTTGATCATGCTGGGGCAGAATATGATACAGTTGAGATGAACTTGTAGTTCCAACCAGATCTGTACCTCTCTGTTGTGGTGATGTCCCTTGCAGTAGAGACATCAGCTCAGTGGACTGCTGATTAGTAGATGTAGATTTCATTGCTGCCAACATTAATTCCTGACTTGATATAGGCTTGTGAGAAGTGAACTGGCTTTGGTTCTGAACCACTTGAAGAAGCTGCTTCACCATTTGATTTTGGGATTCTTTTGTTTCCATCTTTTGCAGTTCAGGACTGCCTTCACTTTGGAGTAAAAGCTGACTTAATAATGATCCTGTCTTGGGAGTTTCCGCAAAAGAGTAGACATTTTTTGTTAATCCTGTGTTTGGAGTTGTAGATGAAGCCATGGAGGATTGGTTTTGATTTTGAAGTTCATTAAATAGTAACATCTGTTCATGAGCGCTTGCACCTGTCACACTACTGCTGATTGGCGGTACTGGAACTTGTTTTGTTACATCGAAGGGTTGACTTGATGCAAGTGTTGTTGAGGCATACACTGGATGGGTACTTTGAAGTCTTGTCAAGGGGTCCACTGCCTGATTAGATGATGATAACACAGAGTGGGCACTTGGCAAGCTCAATGGGGGACTCATGGCTTGTAATGAGTCATTAGATTTTCTCCTATGTGTAGGAAAGCCTTTCAGATTMAATGAAGAGTTCTGATTTGACATGTACATTAATGAGGAATCAGACATGTTACGAGGGAGTTTCCCTTTTCGTGATCTACCAGTTGAATGCTTGATTTGAGATGCTGGAGTTTGCTGAAAAGGAGCTGGACATATCTGGGACTGTGCTTGCCCTGCCTGTGCCTGTGCTCGTATTTGCTCCAGAGGTGTCTGCTGTGATGAGTGAGGTGGTGGACTGGTTGCCATGGCAGAACTGAACTGTGACAAACTGCTGTTGTAAGAAGTTGGAAGATGAGATTTTGAAGTTCTTAGCATATCATACAGCCCTGAATCAGACATATTCCTGGGAATCCGAGGACGTTTAGCTTGAGTTCCAGTACTTAAAGATTCCGAGTGGCTTGCATTTGAAGACTGTAAGTGAGCCACAAGGTTAGGAAACTGAACCTGGGCAGGTATCTTTTGTTCTTGTGAATGAAGAAAAGGCAAACCAAGAGTACTCAATTGTGATGAATCAATCATCGATAACTGGTTGTCAGACACATTTCTTGGTAATCGGCCCTTTCTTACTGGTGAAGTGCCATACTCCTGTAAGTTACCACTACTGTGTCTGTAAGGCAGATGCCGTGTCTGGCCTGAAGTCATGAGCTTTGGATCTTGCAAATGGGATCCTGGAATGTGTTGGGCTGGAGACTGAGGGAGCACAGGAATTGGTGATTTCTGAGTCGGAGATGTCAAGGTTGTACCTTGTACTACCGTTGATTCTGCTTGATTCTGATTAACAAAAAAATCTTGCTCGACTTCCTCATGAAGATGCTCTAGGGGAATCCCCTCATGCGACAGTGGCTGACCAGAAGAAGGTGAAAAACTCTGCAAGTTCATCTGACTGTCATAGTCCATTGTGTACTGTTGAAAGTTCTCGCTGGTATCCATGAAATCCTGGTCTTGTTGCAATGATGTGACCTGTTGGATAGGTTGGTTTTCTTGGCCAACCCCTGTAGGTATACTGTAAAGTTCAAAATTCTGGGATTGGTCCATCATTTCTACATTGTTCTGGGGTCCTTGGAAAGACATCATACTTGGAGCCTGTGACGTGAGACTTGTGTTTAGGGGAGTTAGTTGGTTGCTCCCAAACTGCAAGCTCTCTCTGGAAGAAGTACTGAATGGTACTTGATAAGATTCATTGGGCTGGTTTTCTGTTAAAAAATCTGTAAAGATGTAATATTGAGATCAAATAAAGAAAACTTCAAGCATTACTGGATATACTGCATAACCATAGTCATGGAAGGGTTCAATTATTTCTCCATTTCATATTCTTCTATACTCATAGTTTAACCTRTGTATTTTCCATACAATGGTAGGTGGTTTGGGTCTAAAGTCATTTCTTTCTGAGGACTAAAAATAATGGCAGGTCGGTCACAAGTGAAGACAAAATATGGCTAAATTAGCCTTAGTTCAGTCATACCTTGATTCAGGCTCAATCTCAAAATGACTAGTAAAGCAAAGATTTGACCCGACAAGTTCCATCTTTAACTTACTTACCAACTAAACTTTCAATATGTTTTGAAAATTCATCAAGGTTTGGTTGTAAACTATCCAGCGATGGTTGAAATGTTATCTCTGCAAGCCAACAAGGTGGTACAAGTACTTGTTAATTACCATAGATATTGATTATTAAAAAAATAGGGGGGTACTCCCCTATATTTGCCATACAGGTATATGCCGCCAAACAGTGTATGGTTTTCAGCGATTCTACTCTAGAAAAGGGTA